TCTAAATGACTCTAAAATTTGGTTTTTAAATGTATTTGTCCCCCTTTCATGTAAATTCTTAAATGTATTAATATATTAATTTATTTATTTTATGTAAACTTTAAATATGAACTTAAACCAGCAGTGAAGGGAAGTCCCTGTCTTTCTCAGTGAGTCAATGATTCACTCATTCAATGATTCAAAACGACTGATTCATTCAAAGCAAGTGACTGTCTTTATGAATGGGTCATTGAATCACTGACTCAACTGATTCATTCAAAAATGGTGAATCATTCAGGAACAAAATACTACTGTGATCAGAGACACAACGGTTGTGCTGTGACTTTTTTGTTGGCAGAATAGAGCAAAAACTGTTGGTATTGATGGTATTGACTCTAAAATGTATCTCACTTAATATTAACTTAACATAAAATATTATTTATTTATTTAAACTATTTAAACTGTAGGAGACTCAATCACAGGGCTCAAAGCATCTATCTGATGTTCCTGTGATACGTCCTCATCAAATGAGAAGACATGGTTGCCCTGTAGAAATCTCTGCTCACAGTCCCCAGTGATTATTGTCATTACCGAACCTCTCCGTTTCTTTGGAGCATCGGTTTCGTCTCTGTCACACGTGTTATGCTTGACACCGTTGGATAATCCTTCGTCGATTTGTTCCTCAGAGTTGCACAGGGACGGTGGGATGACATGAATAAGAAGCTCCCTGTGATGTCTCTCCATGGTGTCACCTGGAGAAATGGACTCATCCAGCTCCAGCATCTCCTCGTCAAAGCCACTTTCATTGACTTCATTCAGCTCAGGCACACCATCTTGATCCGCACCATCAACGATCATCAAACCAGAACTCGGTTGCTCCATCTCGTCCAGCTCTGCTGGCCCATGATATTGTTCGCCTCTAAAGAAGACTTCTTCTGGGCTCTCATCAGACCTGGATGGATAGAATGGGTTTTTCATTGAGCTGTAAGCCTTGAATTTGGGAATACACGAGTCGGGACCGGTTGTAGAGCTTGAGCTTGGTCTATAGCTGCTGCTACTGGAAGATTTGCGGCTCCCAAGCGGACGAAGTCTTTCGTCTTCTACATAAAATCTGCCCATCCTCTCTGCCTGAGAGGGAAGCGACTGCATAAAAAACGACGACAGTGTGCCAGAGGAAAACGACTCTCTGTATGAGGGAATGCTCTCTCTGGCTTGACTCATTTGATATGTCAATCCCGGGTACGTCTTTCGTCTTTTGGGAGGAATGTCCATGTAGCCTGCAGGATGAGTTTTGCTTTCTAGGATGGCGATGCTGTTGTTGCGCAAGCGCGTCTTCCTTTCGTGATTGTCGATGAAGTTTTTAGTGAAAGAAGATCTGTTTATTGAAGCTCTGGGATTCATGAATAAGTGTTCCTGAGGACTCAAGTCGAATAGCCGTTCACAGCACCTGGACACATTTGTCCTGTTGTCCCCATCCAGTGTATTCTGGCGTGTAAACTCTTTGCACAAGGTAACCTCAGATGCTGTCTGCGTGCAGTTAGTGTTGTGGTGGTCAGCGAATCTTTCTCTGGGACTGATCTGACAAGATGCAACATTTTCTGCAAGGAAATCCAGTGCACTAGCCTTCTTATCAGCAAATTCATCAAGGGGAGGGATATCCCATAATGCCTCATTACTGAGACTGCTGGGCAGTGAGCGCTGTTTCTGATGTTGCCAGAAATCAGAGGGTGATGAGCAACAGGAAGATCCATCAACCAGTGTGAAATCAGTGTCCGTCTGGCCACCTGTGTTTCCCCAACGGAAGTTATTTTTACAGCAGCTTTTACGGCAAGCCATGTCTTCAGGATCATCCCATGAGCTCTGACTCTTTGAATCATGTGTTGACTCTGCTTTCAGCTCTGCAATGCTAATCATATAGCTAATATTCTCGCTGGTGTTTTGTTTGTAACCTGCTCCATGTTGGTTCCATGAGTAGATGTGTGTGTTTTTTGGAGATTGATGATTCTCAGTTCTAAAATGAGCCTCTTCTCTTTTGTCTCTGCAGTTTTGAAGAATAAAGGTGGTCTTGATATTTAAATCATCTGATGTCACGACATTCATCTCAAGCTTCATATTTGGGCTCATGCATTTGACCTCAGTGGTTGTGACTGCTATCACACTACTAACCGTTGCTTCATGGCATCGGTCGAACACAACTCTGGGAGAAGACAGTCCAAAGTTATCGATGGTCACAGAATGTGTGATTTTTAACCCTGGACCTCTGTCTATTGGTTCTGAGTTTGGCTTTTGTCTGTATTTTTTCTTTTTGTCCAGGAAGAAATCTTCACAACTCTGTGTTCTGATTTCTTTCTCCGTGGTTGGAGCCTCAGTCTCCTTCTATTTTTTCTTTCCAGGAAGAAATCTTCACAACTCTGTGTTCTGATTTCTTTCTCCGTGGTTGGAGCCTCAGTCTCCTTCTCGTCTTCAGCCACTGACAGTACATGCTCTTTACAGAAGGAGTCAGTTTCTCCCTT